GTAGGCATTAGCATATAGGTTGATGATCTGTACTGAAAAAGGATTAGTGATACAAAGACATGCTCAGTTTTTATGAAAGCCAGTTTTTGTTCTCTAGAGAAGGTGTTTTTAACTTGTCCGAACAATTGCTACGGTATTTGTACCAGACTGATTCTCATTTTTGTGACTTTCTGTGAATTTCCTTTTGAATCTTCTCTGTTCCGGCTTTCTATTAAACAAACATATAGACAATGTGTTTTATTTGCTCTGAAATCACATTACAAGATCTAGCTCTGAGCTAAATATGCATTTTGTAAGCTGAAAACTCTTGCTATCCTCCATTCATCTCATGAATTTTAAAATTCAGTTCAGCCAGGAAATTGTCCTTCTGTATTTCTTCCCCTACTGATTTAGAAGAAGAAAAAAGGGAAATTGCATTTCAGAGATCTAAATTGTGAAATAAAGTTTTATTTATATAGAATTATATCCGACAGGAAATCATACAAACGTTTTTTGCCTTTTTTCTTTTTTTTTTTTTCCAATTTTTTTTTCTTTGAGAAGAAATACAGGTTAACTTTTAAAGGCATTTTTTGACTTGGGGAATTGTTTCAGCTACCCAGGAGGCTTATTAGCAATCTGGGAATGCTACACCATTTACAGTTAAAGCTGATTTTCCTAGAACTGCCTTGAGCACTGAAAGTGAAATGCTTGATAAAGGATCCATGTATGACAGAGAACTAGAATTCTGTTTGCTTCTATACTAAGCCTTACCAGCTGTCATTTCAGGCATCTGCTCAAATGTCTATTGGGACGAGGGCACAGCAAGTACTCTCTTGTATCTAACCATAAAACAATATCTGTTTATTATTCCCAGGAAGCTCTGACTGATTTTAAGAAGAAATCAGACATAGACATTACCTTCCTTGTATTGAAAAGGTTCTGTTAGCTCCTTTTTATCAGTGTGGAAATCCATCCATTAAATTTCTTGCTAAGTTTTTAAGACTGAAACTCATTTAGAAACAGGAACATTAGTTCTTTCAGTTCAAATTAAGATCAAAATCTAGGTATTTGAAATTGGATAGTCCATTTTATGGGATTTATCAAATTTAGTTTGGGCTGCTTGTTGAAAGGTCTGAGCCAAACAGCCTCAGGGTTTTATAGGACAAATTATCTTCTTGTTTTGTATCTTTTGTCAAAAAAACCCTCTCTTTGTAGCTCTTTTTGTCTGTGGGAACGTGTTTTTAATGGAGCTAGTTAAAATTCCTGTTCTTCGGTTACTTGCCTCTGTTAAAGCACTTGTTAATTTTGCATAAATATTACCTATCTTTGCTGTACTCATTGAATCCAATCTACAAAAACACCTCAGGCATATATTTTGGGTTCTATAAAGATTCTTGGGTTCTGCCAATGTAGATTCCTAGTAAAGCATTTCTGCAATTCTTTTTTCAACTCATGAATTATTTAGTATTTCTTTTTTTAGTCCCAGTCATTCAAGTTATTTTTTTACTTGCATAGCCTGTTATATACCTTCAAATTCATAGCTAAGTGCTTAGTATTGAGAGTGGCATTTTTATTATTTAGGGAGATTATAAAACTAGCTGCTTAGTGTATTAGAACACTCCTTGTTTGTTATAGTTTATTCTTGTAACTTTAAGTAAGCCTTCAAAAGTCCTGTCATTTTTCAGCTACCTTTCTTGAAAGAGAGAGGGAATAAAAAGTATCTATATATGTCAGTTAAGTTGTTATTTTATTTTTTTCTCTTTTCTTATGGGCAATAAAGCAATATGGCTTTTAATATTCTTAAGTCATAATTCTAAACCAAAGGATTTTAGCATAAAGTCTGCAGGCTGCAAACTTCCGATGCAGAGATGAAAGCTTGAAAGCTGAAATCTAAACCTCAAATGTGTGATGGTTGTAGCAGTTACTGAAATTGTGACCAAAAATGACAGGGTTATGACAACAGTTCTCTAGGTACCAGGGGGATTGTGTTTTCCTTAATTAGGTTTTTGGAAATTTGTATATATGGCTTAGGAAAAATTACAGTCTTGGTTTCTTTCCCTTAGGGATATCAGGGATCAGCAGGAACTCCAGGCATCCCAGGAACTCCTGGGGTTCAAGTAAGTTTTTGTTTTGTTCCTAGAATTTGTAAATCTGAGACAAATCCCAGCTCCCTCCCAGTATCCATTGTTGAGGTGTGGGGAATGAAAAGGCCTAAAGGGATGGAATGGAGTCAGGGGCCATCATTGGGTGAATTCCTTTGGAACTTATGTTGGGATTTGTAGGTAGGCTGACCATGGAGCATGTATCTAACCCTTGCTAGGTAAGGCCTGTAGAAGCAGGGCTCAGCTGGGCCTTAGGCATTTTCATCGTGATCCAGAAGCCAAAAAGTAGTTTCTTCCATTTTTATGTGAATCAGTTACAGTGATCTGAAGCTTTGTCATGGTGATTGATTGCCCACCATTCTCATGTCCAAAAAAAGGTTTCAGATAAAGCCCAGACTGATGGAGGAGAATTATTTGTTTCTTCGTTGTATTAATTGAGTAGCGCTTACTGGGACAGTTATTGGAAACCTGTGCTGCATTTTACTTTTGGGATGATCCAGTCTAGCTGGATAGTTGAGGACTTATTAATGTGTTGAATTAAATATCAGAGAGCATGCTGGGGCCAAGAGTGAGCCTGCAGCATGGCATATGTGAAGGCTATCTGATCAACATTTGAAAGCAAGAGAACATTTCTGGACTAGTACAGGCTGTGTGATGTCATTTATCCTGGGGTGGTCCTTGGTTAGATCAAAGAACTGTTTTGGTGTTCTGAAGTGGGAACAAGGTTGTGATAGTGTGCTATATTCATATATGCTGGATACATTTCATGCTTGGTTCTGCTTTTGTATCCAGTTACCAAAATGTTGTGATCAAGCAGCTGACACATTAGTCATTGCTCTTGTTGTATTACATTTCTGTGTCTTATTCTGCATCAGATTTTATTAGTATTTGAGCTGGTTTTAATTTTTTCTCTTTTAGGGACCACGTGGCTTACCAGGTATCAAGGGAGAGCCAGGAAAAGATGGGGCTAAGGTAAAAAAAAAAACAAACAAAAACCAAAAAAGAAACCAAAACAAAACCACAAAAGAAGAGTAATAGATAAAAATATTTTACTCTTACCATTTATCATTTCTGGTTGTACAATTCACAGCATCAATATTTTAACATGAAGCTTCTGTGAGAATTGTGTACTAAAAAGATAATAAAGAAGGAATAAGAATCCTAAATTTAGAATGTTACTTCAATTGTGAATCTGATCTGTTTAATTTAATGAAGTTTATATAGGCTTTAGCACTGCTGTTAATACCTTTATTGCACTGAACAATTTCTATTTGCAAACATGTCTGAATATGGGTACCTAGAAGCACAATACAGACAACTGTCAGAATGTCTTTTTTCTATCTCTTTTCATACTTTTTCTCTTTACATCCAGATGAGCTACATATGAAATTTCAGGTGGCACTTCTTATCAGAAAACACTGACTAACTGAAACCAAAGCTTTTTGTGGAAAAAATGTAGCTGAGGTGCATCCAGTAGCTTAGCGCTGCAGACAGATGTGGCAGCTTATATATAACACCCTTTTGGTAATCAACATAAACTTGAATCCAGAACTCCAGTATACACTGTGAATAAACTAGCCATTGGCCATTGGCTATTGGCAAGTCTCATTGATATGTAAATATGTGTCCATCCTTCTTTCACACTTCTGCCCTGTGTTTAGAAGAGATCTAAGTTGATTGTGATAAAAATTTGGTTTGATTTATTAAAACTTCAAAGTCTTTTTTTAAAAACAAACAATTGATTTCCAGATAGATTTTACTGTAGAATTTCCTTCTTCTAAAGTTCTCAATATTAAAGCAGGTTCTTAAATTCATCACTGTTCAGCAGAATTCTCAAATGCAAGATTAGAGCTGAAAAATGTGCTTATTTGTTCTGTGCTTTAGGCATCTTAATCTGATTGATCTGAGATGTTAATCTAATTAATCAGTCAGTATTGGGCCATGTGCAGAAAGTAAGATAGTGGTGATGAAAAACTGTATTATTCTCCTGACAGGGTTGTGACACAGAATATTTCCTAATGCTTAATCCAGCCTTGTTTAAAATGTGCCAAGAAACAGGGCTTCCACCACTGTTTTAGAAAACTTTTCCATTATAAAATAGGTCTTGCCATTGGAATATTTTTCCTGATGATTCAGCCCAAATTTTCAGCTCTTAATTTCATCCCATTACTTGTAAAGTTTTTGTGTACTTTGCCACCTTTTCTAATTTATCCAATAACTGAATCACCACTTCTGAGCTGAAATTGACTCTCCATTCTCTTCATTAAGGAGAAAAGGATGCATGAAGTGTTACTTTGATAAACCTTGATGATTTTTAAAACTCTATTATGTTGCCTTTTCAGTACTTATTTCTTGTGAGATACTGTGATAGCATTAACCCACAAACTACTATTCCTGTGGTAGGGTTCCTGTCTTCTGTGAACATGTAACAGGCTCCTCTGAATGTGCTTAAACATGAACAGTTTTAATAAATACCACTGAGACGTGTTTTCTTTTACCCTTTGTTTTAGAACTTGATAAGTTATATGAAAGAACTTCCTGAGCATAATCCTGCTTTACGACAGAAAGATATTAAACAAATCAAAATACATTGCTCAATATAAAGTTAGATATCAACAGAGAGAAAACAATGGTGATTGTCTAAAAGTGATTTTGTGATTGCCTCTTTGTTCTGAGCAAAGTAGGTCTACTGGAACAAGGAATTAAACTTGTTTTCATTATTTCAAGTCATGTAGTGCCAAGTTATAATTTAGCCTTTTGTAATCACTCAAGGGAGGTTGAAGACAGATTATCAGGTAAAGATCTTTAGTACCAATACTAACAGTTCTGAAATTCCTGACACCTGTGAGGACAACAAAAAGAACTCGTGTTTCAGCTTCTGTTTTCAATTACAGGCTGTTTTACCCAAGTGGATTCTTTCTTCCACTGAAATGAGAACTCATTTGTCAATGTGCCAAAGCTGTTTTGTCTGTGTATTTTGTTTTAATTTGCATGGGTTTTTTAAAGACAAAGTACTTATAACCTTATTTTTTTTAATATTTCACTCATTCAGAGTAAACTGGTGAGAAAATGGATAAGGTCAGTAGGTCTTTGACTTTTTCAGTAAGAGGTACCAACAGATTTAGGGAATTCCCTTATTCTTCAGGAATTAGGAATGGATGGAAGAATTATCACAGCTCCTACAGAGATTTTTCAGAGCTCTTTTCAAAGCTTGTATTCCTCTTGTCAAAGATAAATCTCTACTTTTGAACCTCCATAAGCCTTTTTGAGAGACTACAGTAAAGTATATGATAAAAAATTTAGTGATAGTTTAATTTTTTTGTTATGTATTGAATCCTGTTTAAAGATCAGTGGACTCTCATGGGTCAGCATACCAAGGTTGTGTAGTTTATATGGTGATATGTGTCTTTCGACAGTTTGTTAATTATTGAGAATATGAATGTTACTATAGTACGTAACTACTCTTTTAGACATAAGGATTTAAAATATCTTTGCTCTTTTAGGGTGACCGTGGACTACCTGGCTTTCCTGGGTTACATGGAATGCCAGCACCAAAGGTTGCAATTCGATATTTTTTGTTACAATATTCATATATTTCAGCTTGCTCTATAGTTTAATTTAAAGGAAAAAGAAGATTATATACAATATTATATCAGTCTATTTGATGACCAACATAAAATTAATACATATGATGCTGAACTTGAAGGAAGGTACATGCCATAGAACTTTATTTTGTACATATCAAGGAATGGAAACCACCTGTTTTGTGGGTTTTTAAAAAAAAATTGTTCTGTTTTATGGCATTCTGTATTAATTTGAATTTTGATTTTACAACTGCTTAGATAGTTCTGGTCTAACCCAATGAGTTTCTTTCATACGTATGTTCTTCAAAACATCATCAACCGTCTTTTGCTCTTCTGTGTTGGTACGCAACTGAATTTGCTTCTTAAGTTTTTCCAAATTTTTGTATTCAACTTTTCAAATAAGGTTTTCGAAAGAGTGCAGCACTTTTCAAAGAGCTTAATTTTCACTTAGATACCTGCCTATATTGAAGTGACCAAAAACTCAAAGTGCCTTCCACTGGAAATAGAAGTCTGTGAGCTATGGAGTGTCTCACCAGCAGTGTTGGACACTCTGGGCTTCTCCTCTAGGAGAACTTGGAAAATTCATTATTTGCATTTACTGTATTGAGCATATTTTTTTATATCAGATGGAGCTCTTTGCCTCCTTCATTTTACATCTGCTATGAATGTATACTTTGTATAGCTATGTATATAACTACTATATAAAAAATCACCTTATTCAGACACTTCTTGTGTAGGGAGAAAGAGGTCCTAAAGGAGACCAAGGAGTGCCAGGAATATATGGAAAAAAGGCAAGTAAATGTATAATCATAAATTAAAGCAAAATGTTATTGGTATCTGTGTGCTGTGATTTTGGCCGGCTGCCTGATGCCCCCCAGCCACTTATATTCTCCCTTGTGAACAGTACAGGGTGAGAAAATAAGATGGAAAAGCTTGTGGGTCCAGAGAAGGACAGGGAGATCACCTAGCAATTAACTGTCATGGAGAAAACAGACTTGACTTGGAGAAAATGAATTTAATTCATTGCCAACTGAAATAGGTTCTGATAGTGAGAAACAAAGAGAGAAATTAAAAATGCTTTCCCCTCACTCTGCTTTATCCCAGGCTCAGCTTCACTTCTTCATGGGATGGGGAATACAGAGCAGGGTGGGGTGGTCAGTCCATACCAGTTCCTTTCTGCTCTTCCTTCTCACTCTTCTCTCCTGCTCCAGCATGTGTCCTCTGTGAGGTCCTCCATGCCCTCCAGCATAGGGTCTCCATGGGCTGCAGGGGAATCTCTGCTCCCGCAACATCTCCTGCCCTCCTTCCTCACCGACCTTGGTGTCTGCAGTTTTTATCTCACTTTTTTTTCCCACAGTCCTTGCTTTGCCTGTGTTATGTTTTTGCCCTTTCCTAAGTACATTTCCCCAAGGCATCACCACCTTGGCTGGGGGGCTCAGCCATGCTCTGCAGAGGGTCGGTTGGAACTGGCTGGAATCAGCTGTGACTGGCCTGGGGCCTCTCCTCACAGACACTCCCCTGTAGCCCTGTTGCCAGTGCTGGGGCACCTGCACACAGTACAATACAATTTTTATTTTTATAGTAGGTGTATTCACAGAGGATTTCTTTCTGCAGTTAATTTAAGAACTGAGAAAAAATTCCACTGAACTTAGTGGATATACTTATGTCAAGAAATATTGCATTCATGCTCTGCTTTTCTGGGTATTTTGAGAACTCTCTTAATCCTTCTGATAGTAGTTGATTTTAACATAATAAAAAATGCTTATAATTATTTTTTTATGCAAATATGTTGATGTTTTTAATGTGTGGTATTTATTGCAAAGAAGTTTGTGCTTTTTAATACATAGACGTGTGAATGAACCATTTAACTGAAAGGAAGAGTGAGAGAGGAGGCAAATGGAGTTGAGACTGACAGAGGCCTAGAAGAGAGATGTTTTAATATATAATTTATATAAAGGCTGCTTGTATGTAAATATTTTTATTTCCAAGGGCATATTTTTGGTCATCCAATGTTGACAGTTACATTTTCACTTGTCCTTATATTTTCTTTCTGCATTTATTGGTCTAGAGTTTTTGCATGTTTTGGTCTAGAGTTTTAAGCAATTTGAAAGAGGGTCTATGTTTGCATTTCTATATTTTAGATAATAATTAAGTTCCTGTAACAGGGAGTAATTATTAATGAACCACTGCATGTGTTAAAGAAAAAGCAGATCTTCCATACATTTTCAAAATAAGAAATAGCATACATGAGTTATAGGTTAAATATACTTACTTTGCAGCATAAACATTGAACAGTACTTACTTTTCATTTGCTGTATTTCTCAGGGTTCAAAAGGAGAAAAAGGTGATATGGGCTTTCCA